ATTTAGAAGCTTGGCCGAATAAACTTAGACCTTGGCTAGGGAAGATGCTAAGCATCCCTCTGTACAACTGTCTACACTTGAAATAGCCATTTTTAACAATTCTGCATTTCCTAATATGTTAGGATACTGTCAATACCGGTACTACTATAGCATATGAATTAACACTGGGAGATATATCACCTTGGGATGCCGTTGCCATGGCACATGCTTGGTCTTCTTCCATCACAGACAAAGAGTTATAGTTATTACGCTTGAATTGAAAACATGATGTGAATGATATCTGGGTACTCTCTGTTGACCCATGACCAAACCAGTAGGATTTCTGGAAGGGGAAGTACCAGGGTCTTGGCAAACCATAGGAACCTAAAATGAATTGACATGATGAGATATGAGTGTACATGTGGTTTGTAAAGTATGTATTAGCTGAAATGGCTCCATTCTTACTGGTAAACATGTATTTCAACACCAAAGTCAAGTATGATGAGATATCAGTATACATATGGTTTGTAAAGTATGTATTAGGCTGAAATGGCTCCATTCTTACTGGTAAACATGTATTTCAACACCAAAGTCAAGTATGATGAGATATGAGTGTACATGTGGTTTGTAAAGTATGTATTAGCTGAAATGGCTCCATTCTTACTGGTAAACATGTATTTCAACACCAAAGTCAAGTATGATGAGATATCAGTGTACATGTGGTCTTGTAAAGTATGTATTAGGTGAAATGGCTCCACTCTCACTGGTAAACATGCATTTCAACACTAAAATTCAGTATGATGAGATATCAGTGTACATGTGATCTTGTGGAGTACATCAGATGAAATGGCTCCACACTCACTGATAAACATGCATTTCAACACTAAAGTCCACTTTCGTAATTTTTCACAAAATGGACCCTACATAAATTTCTTTCAACAATTTTGATTAAGTCTTGCAGCTAATGGAAAATACTCTTCATTTGGTTCAAAACTAAAACTGAAATTGTAGAAAAATACAAAAAAATATTCAAAATGTTCACAACAGTTTCACCGAAAACATTAAGTCATTCATAGGATCAACTCACCAGGATGTACTGCCTCCACATACCATGTTACAACAAAATACAAACTTGCATCACCAATCATTATTAACATAATATGCAATAGATTGAATTGATCTTGTTCCAAAGGACTGCGTCCCAAATTACTCCACTGCAGACCCACACCTTCCTCTTCATACAGTGCAAAATATTTGGCACCAATCCCAAATGCTGAAGTTGATAACATGGACTGAAAGATGCAAAATCAAAATGGTTGACTGATGACGAATCTGATTCAAATTATCGGTAGATCCTAGTTTTGAATTTTTCATATTTTTTGTTTAAAATATGTATTTAATTATTACTCTTTTCATATATTCTATTTCTTTAATATGAATTAAATTATAATTCTTTCATATATCATAATTCATATATTTTAATTTTATTTTTTTTCAAAATAGTATTTGCTTTATTAGAAATACATCTTCAATAGAAATGCATTAAATCAATAGTCGCTTTGGCTGTTTAGAAAATTTTATAATATTGTGTATTTTGACTATAGAAACATCTGTAATTGCCCTTCAATTAAATGAATACTTCTGAACAGGCTTGTGACGCATCACACAAATGGCCAAGCAATGATTCAATAAAGTTGAGTGCAATAACCTCTTCTGCAGAGGGCAGCCATCTGTTATCAAAGTAAAGCGATTTAATATACATTTTCATTGTAATGTAACTGATAATCCACACACACCAGTTATGGTTTCAAGGCTCAGTACAACACGTTAATAACAACAACAAACCAAATGATTTGAGGTGTGTATTAAAATGGTTTCTACCAACAGTTTATATAACACTGATACTCCAAACCATTTAGAAGCAAAAAAATAACTCATTCTTCCACCGAAAAAAAAAACAATAAATCAAAACAACATCCTATTTATGGATATAGGAAATGTAATTTAATTATTATTTCATTTATAAATATTTGATACATGTACATGTAGGAGTGATAATATTAGCTTATCACCCATGACAAGTTCTGCTCCTGTAATTTCCTACCTACTGGGTATGCACAATATCTTATAATACCTGATGTTAACTTGCCCATGTTACATTTTCTAGGCCAAATTGTCTATAGTATTGTTACTATAATCTTGATGTTTTAATATAAATTTTTACATTAGTATTAATTTTCATATTACATTTTTACACATTAACTATTTAATATTAATTTCCCTTCTCACATATGTAATTAATAATAATTTCTTTCACATTGTATATCAGTTAACATTGACTTTACCATATTTGTCCATATTTTTAAGATAATGTTTAATTTTCCATCATATCATTTTCTCAAGCAGATTTAGCAATCACTCACATGTAGAGAAATAGACATGTCCAAACAGAGTGAACAGATTATAGCGCTGAGTGAGTGAGTCTTAGGAAATAAAAAAATGTGACAAGTCACATGGGTTCTTCCCACAAATTATTACAAATCATTACAAACACCCACAGAAATTTACTGACTGTAATATAACAATTTTCCAAAAATGAGATTCAACTTTTCAATCATAATTGCAATATACCGTACACTACGTGAGCCGAACATGTTTATACCGGTATTGTTTGAATTTTAGGAACATTTATCAAATTATGGTAATTTTTCATACAGATTATTTTATATGTGAGCAAATGCAGCAAACACATTTAAATTTCTACAATAAAACACATGGCTAATATACAGTGAAAGGCATAAAGCTGGGGATGTTATAAATGTTTTATAAATCTCAATTTTCAGAAAACAAAATGACTGGTAGAATTCAAATTGACCAATCGGAAATGTTAAGGTTACGCCAACATGCATGCCAATTAAACATGATCCAATCAGAAAGCTCTCCATTTTGAATAAGCGGGTAATTGCAAAGTCCATATCACTTAAAGGCTTGCACGTACTGTAGATCTCTTGAGCCAATCATAAATTAACAATAAATTTGAATGAAAGCTGAAGATCGGTATTTACAAATTTTTATAAATATGTTTACAAAGTAAGGTACAGCTTTCTGCCCTTCACTGTATAATTTTCATAAATATAAAAACATGAACAACATTATAGAATTTAAGTTATTTTAACAAAATTCAAACTTACAGCAAAACTTTTACTGACGAATGGAATAGCCTCTCCTACCACTTCCTCCCTAAGTGCTATGTACAAGTAGGGTACGTAACTGATGAAGTACAAGATTCCGGCACATGCAGCAGCTAGCTTGGCTTTGGAAAATAGCGAACTCACCATGAAACTACAAAAACATTTAATAAAATCAGTAAGTTCAATTTTACTTTTTTCCATCAGAAACTGCAGCTACAATGTTGTTCATTCACACACATGTAGTAGTCACACGGCAAATTAATTACAGCAAGTTTCCAAAGTATTGGTGCTGTAAGTTTACAAACTAGATTGTGAATTGGCGATCAGCATTGGATATTAATAAACAGTTCCGTTATTCCAGACTTGATGATGCCAGTTAATTGCCATGCATCCTGTCTTGGATTCACCACATCATAAGCGGTTTGAACTGGTTTGAACTGGTTGGAGCAAATTACTATCATCAACATCAAGCTGGGTGACCATAGTTACTTTCTATCTCACTACCATCATTAAATTTGAAAAGCACATACCCTGGTACAAACATGTAGACAATTTGTATTAAAATGATTAAATTTAAATCACTTGTTTAAATTCTGCAATGCGAGGTATGTACGACCTAGAAATAGTGCCGTATGCGAGTACCAAGTTGCGAGTCGCAAGTAGCAAAATATGCCATATGCTAGTGGTAAAAACGGCATATGCGAGTGGTAAAATGTATCGTTTGTTAGTAGCAAAAAAGCCCTATGCGAGGGGTAATACAAAGGCTTGTAACGTTTGCTTATAATATAACAACGTACGTTCAATTGTGTTTTATCACAGTAAAATCATGGAGCTAAAAAAAGACCCTTCGGTGAACATGCACCCGATTTTACTAATGCACATACATTGTCTGTTGCAATATAGATTCATCATT